GGCCCTTTTGCTGTCACAGCAGAGTCGTCCGCCGTCCCCGCCAGGGTTGCCCGCCGTCCCCGCCAGGGTCGCGCGCCGTCCCGCCAAAGTCGTCCGTCCACCAAGTCCCCGCCAGGGTCGTCAGCCGTCCCCGCCAGAGTCGCCCGCCATACCCGCCAGGGTCGCTCGTCAAGCTCTTTCTACCAGGTCCCGTCCCCGCCAGGGTTCTCGCGCTGGGAGATAAGGGTACCCAATTTTACTATTGTGCCCCATGGCTAGCAGTGCCAAATCAGGTCTGGTAGACTCGATCTGCTTGGCCAAGCAAGCAGATCTCGAAGCGGTAGCGTTCAGTGGTACCGGCCGCCGCCGGGCGCGGGCGGCCAATGGTTTAGGGTGGCATGGTTTGATGCTTGTCAGTGTTGGCAAGAAAAGTGGACTCCAATGAGCCCTTATAGGGGGAAACTATCTTCATGGCACAAGGTCCTTTGCAAGCCAATGTCCGGACGAGTTCAAGAACCTTTCGGTTCTGTCACATTCGTTGAAGATGTTTGTTGCTTGACCAGAGGGGGTTGGCATGTCTAGAGAGCCCAATACCCCTTAATTAAGGAATATACCATGAATTTATGATTTAAGCTCTGTTCCGTAAGTAAGGGGTATTGGGCTCTCTGGGTGTCTACAGGAGTCTATAGGCGTATGGATAGCTGCGAGATGTTGCAAGCCATACATCGCTCGAAAAAATACTGCAGTCAGGGTGTACAGCACATGGGAGTGTCCGAAAATAGGGGACCCTAATACGGTACTCTAAATAGTAGGATCCTCATTATAAGGACCCCATAATAAGGTAACCCCTTAATTTTCGGAAACTCCCACATGCTTCTTTCTAGGATGCCAGGGTTTCACGTGAGTCCATGAGTTGGTGTTGAGCATTGCCGGAGGACGACGAAGACGACCGTGATGACGAGCCGCCCGAAATTCCTTGAATGGCGCAAGGCGAACCGTCCTGATTCTCAGCTGTCGCCCGACTGGCACCCGTTGCTTCTGCGTAGAGCCTTTGCGAGCTGCGGCACGTCAGTTCGGCGTACTTTTGGGGCAGATGACGTGTGGGAATACTCCGCAAACCCTTACTGTGGCCAAAGCAGATATACTATAAGGGCCTGAATAATTACTAATACTATTCCGGTGGTTCTTTATTCTAAGTATACTATCATGTCCCTATAGTATGGGAACGAGAAGGAACAAAAAGTAGATCTCCGTCCTGCCCACACGCTCTTTGTCCTTCGACCTACCTGGCGAGGTGCTTGTGTTTTAAGTTCGGCCCCCAGTGACCTCTGGAATCTTCCTTAGAACAGCTCCAAAATAGGCTAGGATGCCCAGTAGTACCCTTATTCCCTTTTTGTAGTCCTAGGTTCCTTATGAAGTTACCCAATACCAAAAAGAGAGGCCTTTTTATTCTTAGGTTGCTGGGTATCCTAGTCGTTCTACTATGAATAATACACTGAAGTGGTAATTTGAGCAGAGGCTCCGGCACGAAGCCCTTAAAGCGCAAGGTACATGTAATAGTCCCCTACTCGGCCTATGACCCTAGACCCCTATACCCCTATACCTTAGAAGCTGCCCCCACCCTGTAAAAGTGGTAAAATAGGAAGAAAATAGGGCCCTAATGTAATCCTATAATTTTCATGGTCACTATTCCAGGGTGGGGCCCATTCTAACCTATACCCCTAAACCCTAAAACCCGAAACCCCTATTATTAGACCCATGACCCGTTCACGAAGGGAGTTTGGAGTCTCTGGGAATGCCCCGCCAAGACACTGGGCGATTGCAACTCATCGCGCTTTCGGCCCTAACAAAACGGTTCTACAATGGTCTTCGGAGTTTTTGTCGAGTTTGTTTAGGGGCTTCAGGGTGTTTGTGATTCTTAAGGCTTATGGCTTTGAACATGGTTTTCAGAGTTTTGTCGGGTTTGTAAGGGTTTCTTGCGGTTTGACAAAGCTCTATCTCGGGATTGCAACGACTAGTGCAAATCGTTGCCCCTTGGGACCGGCATCGTGCTATTGGGCCCTTCATAAGCAAAAGAAACCTTAGTATGCCCTAAACCCTTAACTTCTGGCATTCTAAAGCTTACTTCATTATTCCCAAAGAGCTACGTAAACTTCTGGCATTCTACAACTTACCATGACCATGAAGCCCTAAACCCTGCGCCTCTGCCATCCAGGGTTTCGGTTGCAGCTTGACAGGTCAGGAGCTGAGGATGTGGGTGGTTGTCAAAATTGTGGCCCCTTTTTGGGTATCCTAAGTATTAGGTGCCGCATTATAATAAGGACCCCAAAACGGAACATAATTTTGACAACCACCCATGTAGTGGCTACTACTGCATAATGCTATTATCAAATTGTCAAATAGTGGTTTTGCTGCAACTGTTTTGATTTTGCTTTCAATATTACCATCATTCTGATCAGCAGCAGTAGTGGTAGTAGTAGTTGTAGTAGTAGTAGTAGTAGTAGTAGCAGTAGTAGTAGTAGTAGTAGTAGTAGTAGTAGTAGTAGTAGTAGTAGCTGGAGGAGTAGTAGTCGTCGTAGTAGTAGTACTACTCGTAGTACAGTACTAGTAACGTTGTTGTGAATATTAATATGGCATGGTTGTGGCTGAAGTGCAATCGCCTGCGATGGGAGGGGTTGGACCGCTAAGCCCTGGGTGGCTTGCTGGCTAATGCCCGTTTTTCCCCCACACACCCTGGCAAAAACACCTGCCAGGTTCCGGCCCACTGCAAACTAGTAAGAATCGCAGCAGGTATGGGGGGGTCAGGGATCAGGAGTATGTAAGACTTCCACGACGATGAGATCGACTGCTCCGTGAAGCCCTGGCCCCCAAGCTCAAGCCTCCGCTGGGCCGGACCCTGATTGCACATTTGAGACATCGAGAGCTCGCTAGAAAAAGCAAAGGCTTCCAAGAGAAACCTTGGGGGTTCGACTTCGGCCGTGGCCACGAGGAAATCCGTGTCCGTTCCCGAAGCTTTTTCGTCATGCGGGCTGCTTCTTTTAACCCCTTCTGGGCTTATGACGACCACTGGCCCTCAAGATACTTCAGGGTTTAGGGTTTAGGGTAAGTAGCCGTTCACCTCTTCGACACGCACACTTGACTCAAAAAGTGATGCCGTCGAAGGGTATTAGAGGTTACCGTGACCTCTGGCCAGTGTTTATTTCTAGGTTGTCCTGACGTGATCTCATGTGTCGTCCTCGGGCTCATCAGTCTTTACTACCGCAGTGTGTGATTCTTGGGTCGTGGTATTTAGAAGCTTCTTGGCTCTAACTTTGTGCAGAGGTAGGGTAGCGTCGAGTACAGTGTCGAAAAAAGGGCGCTCGACAACATGTGTTCAGAATGGTGTCAATGCCGCTCCTCATCCATTAACCGAAACCCTCAGCCCAGTTAGGGTGGCCCGCATATAGCGGTAGTGTGTCACCTTCGCAAGAGATCGTTTGCCGACGCACCATTCAGGGCAGGGCGATTTTCACGTTTGTTCTCTCAAGCTCAAGCCTTAAATCCTAAACCCTGAACCGTGTTGCTCGCCGCCCGTTGTACTATCTCCCAAAATAGTACAGGTAATGTTTAAAGGGGGCCTATATTACGTTCATGGGAGCCTGGTCTGTTCCTGAGTTCGCCAGTCAGGAGCGCGAACCTTGTGCCTCAAGAAACCAGAGCCAAATAATATTCGGAGGCTAAGTACAGCTCAGAGCGCCTCAAAACAGTACACTTCAGAAAAACCGATCATACGGGCCTAAACAATTACCAAGACTGTTTTGGGGATTCCTTTTATAATTATAGTATACTGTTTAGGGGATTCCTTTTAATTATGATTATAGTATACTGTCTAGGGGATTCCTTTTTATAACTATAGTATACTGTTTAGGGGATTTCTTTTTATAATCATCGTATAATGGCGGCCCCTGTATTAGTTTAGTCGGGGGCTTTCGGTAAGCCTCACAGCTCAGAGAAGCCCCAATGCCGATCCGCACCAGTCATCAAGTCTAGCCCGAAGGCTTTAGGGTTTAGGGTCTATAATGTAGAGGCCTGAATAATTACCTAATGCTTTTTTCTTTTTTTTGGGCGGGTCCTTGTTATATTCAGAGTATACTGGACCCCTATATTCGGCGTGAGGGCAGCTCGGAACGACTGTTCCAACATAGTTTGGCCGGGGGCTCTCGATAGGATGCCCGGCAGTTCACAAGCATCTGAACCTTGTCGTTGCTCTATCCCCTTTCAAGGAACCCTTGTAGATCCCTTTAAAGGAACGCTTTTAGATCCCTTTGAAGGAACCCTTATGGATCCCTGTAAAGGAACCCTTATAGATCCCTTTAAAGGTTCAGATTACATTATGCTTCTGTCAGAAGGTGAGTGGCTTCCTTTCGCGGTTGTAGAACCAAGGACTTGAAATCATCTCCCAGCCAAAAGGCTTTGAGCATAGATCATTTCAGGGATAACCTTGTTCAGGCATCTTCGGATTTAGGCCGTAAGGCCAAGGTTGAGGGATTTAGAAACGCTCGTTATAGGATTCATTGAATCTGCCCAAACTCTTGCTCGAAGCGTGTGGTGCGTCGCAGCGTTTAGCTGGGACGCTGGTCTCGCGCCAAAAAGGAGTGTTCATGCCGGCTTTGCATAGTTGCATGACTTCACGCAGATCGGGTAATGACAGCTCTAAGAAGCGAAGCGAGCATAGCGACGGGTTCTGCACGCACGCAGTAGTATTGATACCAACTCGGTCCACAACCGTTGCTTTATGAAATGAAGCCCAAAGACACTAAGCTTAAACCTGTGTCCCGTGAAGTGCTTCGCAATCCCACAAGGTCTTATAGCAAAGCCTTATAAGCCAAACTACATCCCCGAAGTTTCAACCGCCGGTCTAAGAAACCATAGTAATCCTGAATCAGGCCAGAAAATGATTCGTAAAACCTCCAAGCAACCCTGTTCTCCTGCACTAAACTAGAGCCCTACACCCCAAACTATGCTCCAAAAGATTGCCTGAGGCGTGCCCCCTGGTGAATGTTTTGGGCCAGGGGCCCGAGCGATGTGCTGTGGTCAGAGACGACTCGCAGCATAGGTGGCTTTCATGAGGCTTCATATGGGTAGTTCTCCAATTCGTATCCCTTTTCGGAACCCGAAATAGAACGGCAACCTGAAGAAAAGGACCCAAAAAGGGATCCTGTTTTCGAGAATATAGGAATTGAGTGATAGTAGGGTTTCGTACGAGTTTGTAGGTCTCCATTGAGTCGAAGGATTTGATGAGGGTTTGCAATAGGGCCTAGGGCATTATGTAGTTTTCTACGAATAGGCGGGGGTTGGTATTTGGAGCCGAGTTTCATGACAAGATCGGGGGGCGCAAAGGTATCCAATTTTTGGGCAGAAAACGAGGGACCCCAATACAGGAGCCGAAGCGGAGCATCCTCATTATCCGTACCCTCAGAAAGGCACCCCGAACTTTCCAGGCACTAGGACCCCCCACAAAAGCCCCGACACAGCGATTTAAGGTTCTGGACCCTTCTAGGACCTCTCTAAAGGAACCCCTAGAAAGAACGGGTTCTTCACGTTGAGGTTTCGGGAGAAGTTGTTGATTTCGTGTGTGTTGACCTGACTAAGAGAGCTGCCTATCCACACCAGCAAGGTATATATAGAGGTATCATTCAGTAGACGAGCCGTGTCGCTTCCGAATCCTTCTGGTGCGACAGTACTTGGAGGTTCATGGGTTAAGTCCCTTCAATATGGGTTGTAATCCTACTTGGGAGTTTCCGAAAATAGGGGACCCTAATGGAGTACCCTAAACAGTAGGATACTTATGATAAGGACCCCAAATAGGGTACCCCTTAATTTTGGGAAACTCCAAGCAGGGTCGAGGCCACTGGGTTTTTCCAGCCTTTCAGTGCTTGCAGTGCCTTTCATCATCCGACCATCATCCTGCTATAGGGGCCTTAATAATTACCTTTACTACTTCTGGGGTTCCTTATTCTATATAGTAGAATGGGTCCCAAGAGCCCATTCTTATTAATTATTAAGGCCCCTATATTACTTTCCATCTCTGCTGAGACCCAAACCCCAGAAAGCCCTCTGCCCGCACTTCTACCCAAGGCTGCTTGGCGTGAACGGCGCAGGGAAGACGACGACGATGCGCATGATCACAGGATGGCGGGCGGGATTTGGGTCGAATGATATCCTTGTCTTGTTGTTTGGGTGATGTCGCTGCATGAAGTGCAGCCGTGCGCGCTGGCTTCGGAAGGGGCGAGGAATCGAATACTTTGGTGAGTTTGTTGGCGGCTGCAGAGGGTTCTTGGACCTTAATGGATCTAAGACTTGAAGTGCCTCCTTCTAGTACCGGTCAAGAGGATACTCCCGGTTGTTGGCAAGCTGTGGAAGTTGTACAGCTTCCTTGATGCACATGCATGCAAGTCGCAATATGTTCTCAAAACGCCACTGCCCGCCTTGACTTCATGTAGACCTGCAAGCCGGGTACGCAGGAGACACTGAAGTGACCAACGGTGACATCCTCGTCGGAGGAGCCAGTGTGCAGGACGTCCGTGCGAAGCGAGACCCAAACGTTTGAGTTTTTTTTGTGTCGTGCGCTTGATTCATACTGCTGATGGACAAAATCTTGCATTACCCATGATAAGGAATATACCATAGTTCCCATAGTTTAGAGTCCTTAGGGTCATGCAGCATTTTGTCCATCAACAGTATCATGAGCACTCGAGCCTCTGGAAGTCTTCGGTGTCATGAACTTGGGTTGGCCTGGCATGAAGCAGAAGCTCCAAACTCTGATGCAACTGCTTCCAAATGGGGGTTTTCGAAAATTAGGGGACCCTCATGGAGTACCCGAAATAGTAGGATGCTCATTATCAGGACCCCAAAATTAGATACCGCGAATGTTCAGAAACTCCCAAATTTGCAATCGCTGCAAACGCTGTCCCCGTCCTCTGCTTGAGAGGCCAACCGGGACGCAGCGCGCCGTCGCCTGGGCTACTGCCCGCAGTTCGATGCCCGGGACTCAGGGGAGAGAGCTCGCCTTTGCAGGTGGCCTCTCCAGAGAGCTGTCGTCAGTTTTAGGCGTGTTTGCAGGGTTCTTCTGTGCTGCCTCTTGCTTTGGTCCTCCTGCTCTCCGGAAGGCCCTGCCAGACAAGCTCACGGTGCGAGAGACCTTGTCCCTCTACGCAAGAATTCGCGCTGCCCTCAACTGGAAAGGGCGAGTGCTTCGGGGTGGTGATCGCGAAAACTCTAAAGGCTATTCACCGAACTTTTAGCTGAATGTCTTGGGATTTCGAAGCTTATGCCGCTCGGTCTGAATTATTCGGTTCTGTGGGGTGAGGGCCAAGGGAGGAAACTAGGACAAGCCGAGGTTGCGGCGTCAAGGTTCATCACTCTCATGGTGGGTACATTCACGAAGCACTGACATTGAGAGCAAGTGCAACTAGGACGGCTTTTGTTCTCAAGACTTGTTGGCGGTGCGCTTCTCTCGTAGCTTTTTTGGGGAGTTTTTGCAAGCCACACAATGTTTCAGTTGCCCTGTAGACATGAAGGTTGTAGTGTGCACCCTAAGTCGGGTCACGTCGATTCTACACTGTCCCTCTGCCGTGACATTTCGAATCCTAAGCCTCTGTTTAAAGCGCAGCCTCGGGAACATAAGCATCCGGCGCAGCGGAAGCGCAAGCCGCTCTCCCAATGCCCCAGCTCGGGGTTTGCAGAGTAAGCACCGTCGTATCCTCGATCTTCATGTTGCTTTTGCAAGCATCCATCGTGAGCAATGGCAGCCTCCTCGTTGAAAAATCGTGGTAATTGTAGCGGTGGTCGTCGTAGTGGTCGCAGTCGTCGTCGCAGATGTACCAGCAGCAGTAGCAGTAGCAAGCAGCAGTAACAGTAGCAGTACCCATAGCAGTAGCAATTAGTTGTCGTGGTCGTAGTAGTAGTCGTCGTCGTCGTCGTCGTAGTTCTCGTAGTAGTCGTACTAGTCGTAGTAGCCGTAGTAGTAGGAAGAGGAGTAGTAGTCGTCGTCGTCGTAGTCGTAGTCGTAGTAGTAGCAGTAGCAGTAGCAGTAGCAGTAGGAGTAGGAGTAGTAGTAGTAGTAGTCGTCGTAGTAGTAGTAGTAGTAGTAGTAGTAGTAGTAGTAGTAGTAGTAGTAGTAGTAGTAGTAGTAGTAGTAGTAGTAGTAGTAGTAGTAGTAGTAGTAGTAGTAGTAGTAGTAGTAGTAGTAGTAGTAGTAGTAGTAGTAGTAGTAGTAGTAGTAGTCGTAGTAGTAGTAGTAGTAGTAGTAGTAGTAGTAGGAGTAGGAGTAGGAGTAGTAGTAGTAGTAGTAGTAGTAGTAGTAGTAGTAGTAGTAGTAGTAGTAGTAGTAGTTAGTAGTAGCAGTGCAACTACTTTTGGTTGTTGTTGTGGTTGTCAGACGTTGCAAGACGTCGAAGTCTTCAAACCTTTGACTCCCGCGTGATACCCAAGGCTGAAGGCTATTGAAGGTTTGCGTCAATGCTCTTCGCACATAGCAGGGTCAAGGCGGCCCTAGTAGGCCCTACCTGTTGGGAATCGCAGCATGGGGGGTCAGGGGTTCAGGGTGTAGCGGTTTAAAGTAGGACGTTCAGGATGTATCCCAAGCTACACTTACCAACTCGCGTTGGTCATATGTGTCTTGCGATGAGACTTGAACCAATATCATTCGGTTAAGAGTGCCGTGGTTTGCGGGGTACTTGTGCCTTTCATTTCGTAGCGTTCACGGGATGTATAGAGTTCAGTTGCCATCTGCTACAAGGCAGGCGTGTTCAATGCTTTGTGGACATGTTCGATCCAGTATTGAGGCTTCAACTCTGCTGAAGCTGTCATATGTGGCCTTAGTCGAACTGGTCCCCTGTTTCAGGCGGAGTGCCACGTGACGAGGTGGCACAGGTAACCGAGACGATGGTGCGAAAGATGTGCCTGGAGGCTGAGCCAGGGAATCGTTCGCACAACCGCGGTAAGGGCTTTGAGAGTGTGTGAGGCTCATCAGCACAACTTGTGCGAGTATCTGTCGGGCGGCAACAAGCGAAAGCTCTCGACGGTCCGGGAACCAAGTGCTTCTCGAGTCCTGAGGGCGAGGTTCATGGTTAGTATAAATAGAGTCAATCAAGTAAGGTTTTAAGTTTGGGTTGGTTCGCTGAGAGCTCAGGCTCAGTTTGAGAGAGAAGGCAGGATGCAGAATGCAACCCGAGATGTCTTCTCAGGAACTTAAGTCTTAAGTTGCAGTTACAGAAATCCAGCGAGGAGATGAGATGATATGTTTCAAAAAGAGATCGATAATAGTACCAGCAATATCGATATACTTGAGAATCAGAATAAGCACAATCACTCGAAGCTTGAGTGTTGCGGCTTTCGGCCTTCGGAATTGGGGCTGCAGGCTTTCAGTCAGTTATTGGTAATACTAAATACTAAGATACTGGCAATAGTAATCGTAGTTGTTTAATAGTAGTAACCGTAGTAAGTTCACACACCTAAACCCTAAACCCTAAACCGCACAAAAGATGCCGAAGAGGCCCTGGCTCTCATCGGCGAGCCGGATGTGGTGCTCTTGGACGAACCGTCCACCGGTGTGGATGCGCCTTGGCTTCGGTCTTGGGCTTACTCTTACTATTCCGATTCTTATTTCGATTAATATTTTTATTACAGATGAATAACTATCAGACTCGGCTACAAACACTGTGCCGGCCAGGCATTCAACTTCGTAAGTTGAGACGCGTCACGTTTCAGGATTGCTTCTGGGCGGTGTAACGTGTGAACATGAGCTGTCGACTCAACCAAGAGTCCTAAAACCTCAAGCCTAAGTTTCAGGGGTCAGCCAGCGACTTCGAGCAATGCAAAACAGCATCCGCTCGCCCCGGGGTCTCCTGCCAGGTTGGTGCACGCCGCTTTCTGTGGGAGGCCTTGGGTTCAGGACTTCGCGATGGGTGACGGTTTGGGGGTCTACTGTAGGGGCCTAAATAATCACCAATACTAGTTTGGGGGCTCCTTATTATACTTATGGAATAATGGGCCCCCGAAACCCTATTCTAGCTATTAAGGCCCCTATAGTAGGATATAGTAGGTCTTTCCAGAAGAATGAACCTACTTACCCTTGGTACCACTTTGCTGTGCCCCATATCCACAACGTCAATCATAGGAGGCCGAAAGGGGTTTTAGCCTGTGGGGGTTTGGTGGGGATTAGGGGTCCCATAATGGGGTTCATCTTAAGGAATCCCTGCCCCCAGAATCTTAAACCCCCCCTTTGGCCTCCCATCAGCATCGATGGTCGCTTTGAGTTTTCCATGCAAGATCCTTGCAGACACACCCTGTTTACCTAAGCTTCGACACAGAGCATCGTTCAGCATGTAACGCGTCCGAACCTGACAATGGGAGCCACAACTCATTGCTTGTAGTCAGTCGTCAGGTGGTGAGTCTGCAACGACCATTGAAGCTTGAGCCAGGGAGGATAGAGCCCCGACACGTTCCGATATAGTTTCCCGAAATCGTAAGTAAACTTCGTGCCTTAAACGCCCAAAAACCGCCCAACCCCCAAATCCTAAGCCCTAACCCCTAAACCTGCAAACCGAAGCACCTCGTAGTACAATCAGATCATCGGCGACATCCGGCTGAACGGTCACGCCGTCGTGCTAACAAGTCACTCCATGGAGGACCCTTTCTGCGGATGGCTTCTGGGTTCTTGTTAAGGGATTTACTTACTTCACATTCCCATAAGATAGAAAACTTAATTAGTATCTACTATAGCTCCCCATCATGGTAGCTTAAACAAACTTCCTTAACAAGAACCTAGGCTGTCGGCTTAGGGGTTCTGTTCTGGTCCAAGGGCCTTTAGGGGGCTTTAGGGCTTTGGGGTGATCGAGCTTTGGGTGCTTGCAGGCTCGGAGTTTCGGAGGTCACCTTGAACCCCTTTTTGGGCTTAGGGTACCCTTAAGGGGCTCCTTTAAGGGATCTAGTAGGGGGTTCTATAATCTATAAGGGGCTCTTGGTAGTAGAGTAGGGAACCTTTAACCTGTTTAGGGTAGTATAGTCCCTATATAACCCCTATGTAACTCAAAAGGTTAAGCTTTAGTTCCCAATGATACCCGACAAGTAGGTTGCTGGTTCCTGATTTTGTAGGATTCCGCTCTTCTGCTGCACTCGAGTGTCAGGACTACCCAGAGGCTCCAAAGTAGTTCCTTTTGGGAGCTATCTTATAGGATTCTTAACATGAACCCTAAAAAGGAGCTATCTTACAGGATTCTAAATATCAACCCTAAAAAGGAGCTATCTTATAGGATTCTAAATATGAACCCTAAAAAGGAGCTATTCTGGAGCCTTAGGGTAGGAAGCCGAAGGTAAAGGGAAGGGATGCTGAGCGGACCGGGAGTTCTTTACGGTTTGCGGCTCCACGCATCGTAACAACTGGGCTCATATGAACCGTAACAGTTTAGGGTTCAGGGTTTAGGCTCTAGGGTTTAGGGTTAAAGGTATAGGGCGTAAGATGTGCAGCTCCGATGTGTTCGGCGTACGTTTTGCCAGCGGAGGTCTCAGCACTGCTCGCAATCCCGCAGCCAACTCCGGCAACCTGTTTGTATCGCAGTCACCGCTAGAGCACCCAGGTTGATCTGCTCGCTCGATTCAGCACGCTGCGTGAGAATGGCCTAGGACGACCGAGCAGGCCACTGTGAAGCAGACTGAGGCGAATCAATATAGAGGCTATGTTGGGGATTGGGGGTTCCCTATTATAATTATAGTATGATGGGCCCCCAAAACCCTATTCTAATCATTAAGGCCCGTATATTACAAAGCCAGAATGTGCTAGCCCTGACCTTATTTGCCTGGGAACCCTTTCACACCCGCGAATCGCAGCGTTCAAACTTGAAGTTTCCCTTTAAAGCCCACAAAATTGACCTGAGCAGGAGTGCGAGGTGCTGTGCACGCGCCTGACCATCATGGCCTCCCTGCGCACGGTTTCTCTATAAAGGGCCCAAAGAATTCCTAATGCTGTTCCTGCTGGCTCATTAATATCAGTATGGTAGAATGTACCCCAACATGTTTTTCTTGTTTTTAAGGCCTTTATGTTAGAACGGACCGAGAGGGAAAAATGCTCATGACTTGAGCCCGACTGCGCGTGGCGCTGTTGATTGGTCCCTTGGATTCTGAACTTGAAAAGGGGGCATCTGACGTGGATTTTCAATTATATAAGGGTACCTTATTTGGGGTATTTTTAATAGCGATCCTACCTATATTATATGAGGGTCCCCTATTTTCGGAAACCCCCAGATAGGGGGTCTGAACAATGGGATCCTGCTCTGCTGTTCTCATTCCCAGGGGCGCTCCAACCCTCGTTGCGTCGCCAGCCAAGCAGAGCTCCGAGAAAAGGTCGTCCCAAAGTAGGGGCCCATTGAATCGGATCCCAGCACTCAGGATCTGTATTTTTCCTAGTTTGCCCATCAACCTTGGCAGTTTCAGGTAGCTCCAGGATCTATATTCAGATCCGAAACTGCAATGTGCATGACTGCTCGGCCCACCCAGAAATGCGAGATTGGGTTCTAAGAAGCCTTGCTCTACACACACACACACACACAGGCAGACACTCTTTTCAATCCGTGCATCCAACACACCGACACCTGAAGTGTGATCATGCAAATTGCCTATACTATGTTGGGGGTTCCTCATTGTATTTATAGTATAATATTAACCCAAAATCCTAGTCTAATTACTAAGGCCCCTTTGTTAAGTCTCGTCATCCTGAACTGCGGCTTACGGCTTTAGGGTGGGTCCTGTCTTCGGGTGATTTTTGTCCGAGGACTTGCTTACCCATAGGCCCCACCCATAGTAGTTCCTTTTGGTTTTTTTCCTTATCGAATTGAAATCCAAAAAGGAACTACTATGCGGCCTGTGGGTAAGAGTCCAGAAAGCAAGTTCCAGAAACGTAGCAGAAGCCAGGTTCACGGCCAGTTCCGCTGCTTGGGAAGTCCCGTCGAGCTCAAGGCCAAAAGACCAAGATGCAGGAGAATGGTAGTGGTAATATAGGGGACTTCCGAATTAGGGTTATAATAAGGAACCCCCAAAACAGTGTTGGTACTTATGTAGGTCCCTAAAAAAGAAGCGTTCGCCTTCGCCGTCCTGCACATACATATTCGTCGCGGCAGCAGTAGAAGTGGCAGTCTGCTGTGTCTCTTGCCCCGTTGGCCTTGCCAGTCAAACTGCTGTGCTGAGGGTGGTGTCGGGTGAGGGGGCTGTTCCCTGAAGTCTTTGCAAGACTGCTTTGGGCCCCTGTGTCGGCAAAGGCTAAAGGAACCCTCAAGCCACCAGATTTCCTAATCCTTGAACATCTTAAGAAATGCCGAATTACACTGGGATTCGGGCTTTGCAAGTGAATCCAAGGCTTTTCTTCTGGGTCCTGGGCAGGTTGAAGCCATGGTAGACATTCCACATCCTCAAAGCCTCAGGGGCTTCGAGCTGGACGGCAGGTTTTTCAAAAACAAAACTAAGCCAAAGAACCCTAAACCGGAATCCCTGTGTGTCCTCTTGGGGTTTAGCCGGCCAGGCCAGATACGGTGGTGGCTACAGCCTTGCAGCCGATAGCTCAGCTGCAGAGCAGCCGAACTCGAACTCAAGGAAGGGCGGTAATAAGGACCCTATTCGGATCCTCCTAAACGTTCAACTGGGATCCTGGTCAAGGGGTTTAGATTTGGTTTTCAAGAGGGATTCTCCGAGCGCTGAAGTCCGAAGCCATTTTAGGGGGTTTAGGGTTTAAGGGTTCTCGGTTTAGGGGTTTAGGCTTTAAGGCTTTAAGGGTTTAGGGGTTTAGGGTTTAAGGATTTGGGTTTTGGGTTGGGGGTTTAAGGGTTTTGGGTTTAGGGGTTTAGGGTTTTGGGGTTCAGGGTTTTTGGGTTTTGGGTTTGGGGTTCAGGAGTTGAGCCAAAACGTTACGTCTGTTACGTGCTCTTGAAGGCTTTACCACGACATTCAACCCCCCCAATACCTTAGACGATACATCCTTTAACCCTTAAACCTCCAAATCCGTAGACCCTTTTGCCTGAATCCCTTAAACCCCCATTCCCCTACAACCCTAAGCCCCAAATCCTGAAAGCTTCGTCTGGAAGCTGAAGCCCTGGATCCGGAGCCCAAAGGGAGCTGCTGGATGCGTGTAAAGGCTCACCAGACTCACGAGCCACAGGTAGCATGGCGTGTGGTGCTCGTAGCCACACCTGGTATAAAAACGTAAAAGTTAGAATAAAAGAAGCAACAATGATGAGGATATTTGCTTCACTCGAAATCACACTAACACGTAAGCAAAGTCAGAGCAACAACCACTGTAAGAACGGAGCAGACTGGATTCTCCCTAGGCTTTCGGCGATTCGTGGCAGAGTGGAAGTTCTGAGAAGTCTTAGGCCCGCGGAAGAAGCCGCGTAGCCAAAACTTAATCCTAAACACTAAACCTCTAAACCCTAAACCCCGACGCCCATGAACACTAAACCCACTCAAACTCCAGAACCCTAAACCCCTAAACCCTAAACCCTCCTCCCTCCCCCCGCCCGCACGGCAAAGCTGCAGAGTCTCAGGTGAAAAGCCTCCCGGGCCAGGACCCTTGGCTTTGACTTCTCGGATTGAAGGGGCTTCGGGGTAGAGTCTGGGCTTTCGGTTTTGTGCAGATCAGATACCCGGCGAAAGGAACATGAACATATACAGCTACCTAGATATTTTGTATGTATTCGTAAAAAGCTATACAGTCAACGCGGAATTCTTGGAAATTTTGGTCTGTTTCCACTCAGTTTGGTGTGCCTGCCCAATGTGGGCTTGCCTTCACATCTGGCAATGAACGCCAATCTCAGTTTGGAACCCTTGCTGCACTTTGAACTCTCTGACATTTTGATTCATGTGCAAGTGACAAGGATGCAAAATGCAAAGAGGGTGCAAGATGGAAGTTTCCAACTTTTTGGTTGCGCTCGAACATGGAAATTTGCAAAGTTGGAAATTTGGGTTTTAGCCTGTCTCAAGAAGTGCTGGAAGTAGGCCAAGAGGTTTCCAACTTTTTGGCGTTGACCATAGATGGAGAGATGGACAATGTGAAGCTTGGGGCGGGGGGCGGGGGGGGGCATCACGCATTACACGGTTTTATACGGTTCCTTACGGTTTTTGTTCACGGTTTTGTGGCTCAGAGGCTGGGATCCGGACCCAGGCATTCATCCAAGGGTAGAAGGAGAGACCCTTAATAAGGACCCCTCGGTATACCCTTAATATAGCTATTATATACCCATTGAGGGTCCCTCCTTTTCCCCTTTCAATTCAGGACTTCCCCGGGTGTCGTCCATGTGCTTTGCTTGGATGCTCATAGGTAGTCATGAGTCGAATTATAAGTCGGATAACTCTAGGTATGACCCATTTTAAGGTTGTAGGTGGGAAAACTGTAGTAGTTATAGCACCTTCTTAATGGAATTATAACCCCACTTATACCTACCCATCCCCTAAACCCTAAACCCTAAAGAGCCTCCAACAGCTTACCTTTGGTTAGTAGGGAATGGAAGAATGGTAGTAATAGTAGTTATAATTGTACCCCATTCCTACATTCCCTACTAACCAAACAAAGGTAAGAAAGTAGCCCAGAGAGCCCAATACCCCTTAATTAAGGAATATACCTTAAAACAGAGGGGGGCGCATAATATGATTTAAGCTATATTTCTTAGCTAAGGGTATTGGGCTCTCTGGGAGAGGCTCCAGTCCTAGTCGGCTCCCATCCTCAACGAAACGAAGCGATGCCTGCTCGGGAGGAAGCCCTCGGCCGCAGCACAGAGCAGAACACCGAGTTTCGGCTGCACAAGTCCTGTAATATGGTTGTGAGTAGGTTCTTTAGGGTTTAGGGGATGGGTAGGCAAAGGTGGGGTTATAAGTCCACTGATATGGGTTGTAAGTATAGTTATCCTACTTATAGTCCGCTATAGAAACCTCAAAGTTCCATAATCATCCTACTTATCAGCCTGCTCAGAACTACCCCATGAGCCTCCAAGCAAAGCACATGCACGATGCCGATTTTTTCCGGTAGCTATCATATCCAATGCCCGGGTTGGCAGAAGGAAGCCTTGCAACATGGAGGATATGCCTGTCACATCTGAAGCGAGAGAACTTGCAGATAGTCTTGCATGGCTCCTTTGGAGTGCGCAGTTCGTACCTACAGATACTACGCCGCAACCCTTTGTTTAATCAATGAGTTCCTTTGTCGCATGCGTCATGTCCAGAGGGGTGTTCAGGACAACTGTGACCTTAAACAAAACCCCAGGCAGAAGAATCCTGATTGCGAGGACTTGCAATATCGAGTCCTGGTTGAGACTGTTGAAAATCTGAAGCCCCTGTAAGTCATGTCCCTTTCAATCGCGGAAGAAAGCCACATAACACCGCTACATGCCCCCATAAAGTCTGAATAAGATTATGAAAGCCCGGCCTACGCAGCATCAGGCCCAGATCCGTCAGTTCGTTCGCAGCAAGGTGGGCACCGTTGAAGGTTCCACTTTAGGGATTTGGGGTTTTGGGTTTTCGGGTTTTTCGGGTGTTGGGATTCAAGAGTTTTGGCTGCAGGCTCCAGGCTTTTGGTTTGGAGTTTGGATGTAGATGGGTTGTTCTATATACACATGTGTTGCCAGGCATCTGCGCGGTGTTGTGGGAGCTTTGTGCCTTTTTGGCTTTGGGGGCTTCAGGGACATAAGGCTCTGGAGCAGAGGTGAGCGCAACGCCTAGCCACCCTAGGGTTGAGAGTTTAGGGTTTGGGAATGCCCCAGCAACACCACAAGCCCCACCGCTGCGCAGATTCCTTGGGCACGGCTTGCGGAAGTCAGCGTGGGCCTGCCTGGACCCCAGAAGAGGAGAAGCCGCCGTGAGGTTCGTTGGAAACTGTGGATTAGTGTTTCAGTTGAACTGTTGCTTCGGCCTTTTAACTTTGGGAGGGGGGTCAGATCTAGCATGCTGGTGGTAGGACCTGGTAGGAATCCATGAGCTTCTTGTGGAAGGGCTCAGGGGGCCTACGAAACCTGACTGCCCCACATTAAAAATCACTGAACCAGTGACTCCAGGCTTGCTTGGACCACAAGGCATAAGGTCAGCATGAGCGCGGCATTATAGTTGGCCTGTTCTTGGGGAACACAGATCCAAAGCGTCAGAAGTACCGCTGCAACGTATGACGTCTCTGATGCAGAGCGCAGGCAGCGGCTCCTCCATGTCCTCTTCCTAGCCTACCCGCCCTACTGCCCTAGCGCTGGCCCGCCCTTATAGGTTGCTAGCAGCCATTGTCGGAATGATAAACCCAGAATACCTGTCCTCAACACTAAAGCGGCTTAGACTTCGAGTTTTCGGAGATGAGAGACCCCAGCTAGAGTACCGAACTAGTCGGATCCAAATTGTCGAAACCTCAGAATCGTTTGAGAAACCGCCAATTGGATATAGATTGCGACTCATTGACCCAACAAGTTGCTTCGGCATGCATCGAGTGCGCATGATTTCTGGAAGTAGAGCCCATCACTACTGATACGAGGTAGTCTAAACGTTGCAGGCCTTTTCATCCATTTGCGAAATCTAAAACCTAAAGGCCCTGAAAAAAAGAACTCCCGCACCCTGAAACCTTGTTGCGAAAAGACATGTCATCAGCTCAGGCTACGCTATCGACTCAAGGGTGCGCAGACAACCCATGGAGAGGAGGCGTCGGGGCACGCCTGTTAGTGGGGTGTTTAACGGGCTTGACATGGACTTGATGACATGCGGATGTGTGGTACCTTACTCAGGGTGCTTTTCAATCTAGCCGAGGAATACAGTACTAAAGACCATAGTATGTAAGGTCTATGTTGGGGGATTTAGTTGGGTGCTTCAGCAAACCTGGGAGAGTAGAAGTTGAGGGTCTCAGCTTGCAGTGGTTCATGGCAGGGTTCAAGCTTCAGGGGCTTAGCCTTGAAGCGTCAAAGGCTCTAGGGTGCACAGTGAATCCCAGAAAGTTGGGACATGCATTTAGGATGAATAGTGCTGGGATCCCCTATACTTTGCCTTACGGGCATGAGGATAACAATGTTCCAACTTGCTGGCTTCTACTGTAAGGGTGCCATGGGCTTTGGAGCTCTGTCTGCGGATTTCAGACGATGAGGGCATCCGGTTCCCTTCCGGGCCGTGCGTGGAGTCGGTTGGCACGGGCTTGCCCTGGGCCAAGACAATCAACAGCTTTGGATCTCCAAATTCGAATCACCGGTGGTTTGGTGAGCGACGCTTCTTGAGAGCATGCAGTCACCTGGGCACAGGACTTGGGAGCTGAGACCACTGAGGCTTGACTTCCTTGGAAGCATTCATGTCGCCACGCCATGTACCCAGAGTTGCAAATTGCAGACTCGGGGCTCTCTTCTTGAACAACCCTGAACCCAAAACCCTAAACCATGCTAAACCCTGCAATCCGTGTAAACCTCTCAAACCTTAAACCCTAAACCCTAAGTGGGTTCCGAGATCCTGACTTAACGAGGCACCTCCTCTCATCCCAGCATCCAAGCTTCAGGCACGGCTTGGTCGCTCCGTGCCTAGACCCATGTAATGTGGGAGTTTCCAAAAATTCGGGGTACCATAGTTTGGGGTCCTTATAGTTCGGATCCTACTATTTAGAGAGAGTACTCTATTAGGGTCCCCTATTTTCGGAAACTCCCATATAGTTATCGTATAATTGGTCCCAAAACCCGTTCTAATCATCAAGGCACCTTTTTAATGTAGAAGCCTAAATAATTACCAAGACTATTCCTATGGTTGCATATGATAAATATGGTATAAGATGCGCCAAAATTAGAACCCCTATGGTTCCATATAATAATTAATAACTGTATAGATCCCAAGATTAGAATCCCGATGGTTCCTGATTAAAGTATGGTATAATAATGTACCCCGAAATTCGAACCCCGTATGGTTCCATGTTCGAAATATTGTATAATATGCCCGAAAACTAAAGCCCTGTTCTAGTTATTTAAGCCCCAACATGAGAGAACCCTATCATTATGGATCCCTTATAGACCCCCTTTTAGTAATCCTTATAGGCTCCTTTTCAGGGAACTCAGGAACACGTAAAGGAACCCAATTTTTAAGATATCGAACCCTATAAGTATAGATCCCTTATAGACCCCTTTAAAGGAGCCCTTTAGAGGGAACTCCAGGCACACTTAAAGGAGCCCAAGTTTTTACGGCCCCAGCCATTCAACCCGACGAAGCGGAGACAGGAGCTACCTTTGGCCGAGATCTTTCGCCTCTTTGAGGTGCGCGCGTGGGGTTTAGTGGGCTCTTGTTGAAGGGATCTGTAATAGGGCTCTATACTATGGGGTCGTTGGGCTTTAGGGTTCGGGGGTTTAGGGGTTTAGGGGTTTAGGGTTTGGGGGTTTAGGGGTTTAGGGCTTCATATTGTGATTTAAGCTAGCTATATTCCTCAATTAAGGGGTAATGGGCTTTCCGGATAGTTTAAATCAAAACATGAAGAAGATGATTAGGGTATATACCCTATTGTTCTCCAGTAGTACCCGTTTTCCCTTGTTCTTCTTGGGTTCCCTTATGTAAACAGAATAGTAGGGAAGTGTTACCCTTATTATTCACGGGCTACTGGGGAAGCCTGGTTTGTAGGGGCTTTAGGGTTCCGGGGGCACCCAACACATCCAAGCCGCTGCTTCGGCAGTTGATGGTCATGCGGCGCCCTAGAAAATGCGAACTCGCAGTAATTTAGCGAGATACGGTTAATGGTATAAATCCTGCATAATGACCCTCGACTATGGGAATTATGGTATCTTCCTCATCATGAGTAATGCAGGATTGATATCATCAACCGTAGTAGTTTTTGGCCGTAAGCCCTGGGTTGAACAACCTCGAAGTTGGAGGCTATTGACAGGGAAGGTTGGCAACCCGGAAGCCTCGCCCTGAACCCGAAGCAAAACGTCATAATCAAGAGCCGCAGTAGTGAGTTTCCAGTGCGACTCGACTTCAGAACACCACGCCCTTTGTACTCCCGAAGGATACCACCCGAAGCCCGAAGCCCCTAAAGCTCGAATTTCGACTTGATTGGACGCACCGACGAGGAGGCATCCAACAACGGTGGTAGTCTCAAAGGACCATGGTTTGGCAGCAATTCCGGAGTGGAGGCTTTCATGGTTTAAGGTTTCGGGGTTTAGGGTTTGGATTCTGGGAGCTTCCAGGTTGACTCTTGACATCCGCGGGGAAACGACTTCAAGGCGCCTCTTCCCCCAACAACGAACTACGCCAGTGCTGGGGTTTGCTTGTTGCGTGCAGTTGCGCGTAAGTCCCACCTAGGTTCGGTGCAAGTGCAGCAAAAGCCGATGTAGACATATGTGTCCAACATGTCACTGCTACTGTTCCTAGTCTTGCTGATACTGCGACGACGACGACGACGACTACTACTACTACTGCCAAGGCCTGCTCCGTGGACCCCCTCCTTGTATGATCGCCTGCCCGCTCGGCTACTCTGATTCTATGTACGGTTTCCACTGCACGAATCTTCGACTACATAGAAGTAGGGTATTCGTACCGGATGCAGTCACATATGCTGATTCTGCATAGCAAGTTATAGTTAACTCATCAGAGGCTGACTGAGCAGCATTCCCACCTGACAAGTAAGTTCCGCGAAAGTACTTCTGTTGCGAGCAAAGGCGAAAGGACTTGGATGGACAACAGTTTTAAAGGAAACCTAGGATAGGGGCCGAAATTGGTACCGATACTACTTTGGGGGTTCCGTATTATAAGTCGAGACAAAGTGGGCCCCAAGAACCCACATTCCAAATATTCAGGCCATTGTAGTAGATAAAACCCAGCTGTAGCCCGGAGAGCCAGAGCTAGAAGCCCAAGCCAGTGAGAGGATGCCTCTCCGACTATTCCATTTCTCAGACCTCCCTGGAGGAGGCAGCGGGTTGGACTTAGAGTTAGTTATAGTTTAGGGTCTAGGGTTTTGGGGTTGGTTGTAGTGGGGTTGTGGGGTTTGAAATAGGATAGCTATAGTTGCGGTTCCAGCAGGAGAGGTCTACAAGTATGAGGCGACGAGTTGAAGCTCTTATGGTTGCCTTCCGGATGCCGAAATCACAGCTCTGGGGTTAGTAGTCCAATCGCACGGAAATGCACATCTCTGGCAAGGGAAAGTTGTCTGTCCACATGATGGATGTTTCCTATTCGCTCCTCCTTGCACAGGTACTCCCCACCAACTTTCGACCGAAATCAGGAACGGTAAGGGTCCTGCTTCGCGTTCTTTGGATGTGGATCCTGTCATGTAGGGCCCCATATGCTGTGAAGAAGCTTTTCGTGCACCTCTGCGGACAATTTAGGGGCCTAAACAATTACCTATACTATTGTGAGGGTTCCTTATTCTAATTCTAGTTTGCTGGGCCCCAAAGGACCCTATTCTAATTATAAAGGCCCCTAATCAGAGTACCCTTATAGTAACCCTAATAACCCTTATAGACCCCTTTAAAGGGAACCCTATTCTGATTATCAAGGCCCCTATATCAGGTGTTCCTGCACTTCTCGCGAGAGGCAGGCGTCATCGAGGAGCCGCGGATTACAAAAAAGGGGCCTAAGTAGTTGGGTTCTTTTGGGGGTTCCTTTTAAAGGGGTCTAGGAGGATCATTACAAGGGGCATTACTACACTAGCCGGACAGCTTGGAACCTCTCTCTTGCACATCCACGACGAGAACAAGTTTAGATCTTGCAAGAGAAGGACGTTGAGAAATAGCCCCTCGGGACGATGTTCACAAGCCCTAGGAGCACCCTTTGTGAAGATATCATAGAATCCTGACCCAACAACCCTAGTACCGACGCTACCGACGGCCAGGGCAAAGTCCCCACGCGAAAGCCCCTTTTGGATGTCTCGGCTTCAGAATCCGTGCGGCTTTCGGCTTTAGGCTCGGCCGGGTGACTGCGAAGAGGTGCAGCTTTGCAGCGAACCTGCGTAGTTCCCAGAGACTCCAATACCCCTTAATTAATGAAGATACCTTAAAATATAGTAGGATCCCTAATATGATCTAAGGAATATTCCTTATTTGAGGGGTATTGGAGTCTCTGGGTTTCGGATATAGAAACCAGAGCTTCGGTGGTTGGGGTGTGTGAAGTTTTGGGCAAAAATACTAACACTGACGGCGAGAGTGTATGAGGTTTAGGGTTAATAACTAACCCTGATCGTAAACCCTACCTGGACCCTACGGAACCTACCTTTTTAGGGCCCCCCTAATATGATTTCTTTATATAAATCCTTAAAAAGGTAGGTCACGTGGGGTTAAGGTAAGCCTTAACTCAAGGGTCCCTTGGTCTCCGCGGTGTGACCTTGACACTCCTGTATCCCCTTGCCCAACGTGAGAGAAGAAACCTTCCCTCAGTAAGAAGCCTGTCTTAAGCTGCAATCGGTGTCCAAAAACGGAACACCTAATACTAATTGCTCTTAGTTAGAGAATATTCAAACTCTGGATTGCTAACCAGATCTAAACCGGATCTTCTGAACTTCAGAGCTGTTGTTTCGGCGAGTGCCCGCGGCGTTCCCGAGTCGCCCCACTGAGTCCCTGCAGGATCCGGAGATCCAGATGCAGGACATCGATGACGCCAGCCCCCTCTCAGCGAGCGCCGGCATTCTGCAGGATCTGCGCCAAAGAAGTAGGGTAAGAGAGAGTTCTCGAGATGCAGATTCTGACATGAAGGACGTCATGTAGACAGTTGCGAAGGGGATGTGGGTAGGTATCAATTTGGCATGACGCAGGCCCTCGGGAAGATCAGGGTAAAGCTTTTCGTCGCAAACACAGCCTTCAGCTACGACTGGGATCTGCCCATGTGTCATGAACTGCCAAATCATGAGGAGCATTTTTTTGGTAGCGCCCCCGCTTCACTATCCGACAAGAAGCGCAGCGAAGGAATCGAATTCGCCACGAGGCCCGAGGCTATAACGGATCTTCAAAAAGCCTCAAACCTGTGCCCGGCCATGCCCCCGATGTTGCTCTAACAGGAGCCAGCCCGCACGAACCTTCTAGAGGAGCCCGAGGCAGGTGTGCACGGATCGTTTCCGGTCGCTGTGATCCTTGTTGGGGCTTGTGTTGCGTTCTTGTGAAGGAAGCCATACCTAACTTGCGCCAACTTTTCACACCCTTCAAGGAACCCCCCGTCACAATTGTCAAGAGGCCTGATACAAGCGTGATTAAGAGCCACTCCAAGTTCCTTCACGAGGAGCCATTGCCCTAAGTCTAGTCTGAAAACGAAGCCGTCGAAAGCCAAAAATCTTGTAAGGGAAGCCTTCGAGAAAGGATGGGGCTAAGGGTTATGGCTTGAGATCCATTACGCCGCAGTGACCTGCACAAGATGGGATTTGCATGGAATCACCGGGCGCAAGCATCACGATCCAAGCCCGCCCCAGCGGTTTGCAGCGTCACTCTGAAATCTAAGATGGTACTTCGTCCAGCTTGCTAAGCTCTCGATGCAAAGCAGCAACGAACACAGGTGAATGAAGCGCAGCGAGCGATTCCCCCGCAGGCTCCTGCACGGATTGGGAAATAGGTTTTGGCCGTTCAGTCTCAGATGTGTCGTTCGGTCTTGTCGTTTTTCAACTTAATCCGGCAGCATTTCTGGGACACCAGAATCTGCCAGTGTCGGCTCAGGCTTCATGAACAGGTTGGCATTTCAGAAAGAGGCATGCTCAGTTCCATCGAAGATAGCTTTTTATTGGTGAGGTGGTTCATCGGGCTATAGAGCTTCCGAGAGTTCGAAACATGAGTTCACCAAAGCAATGTGTTCCTGGGCCTTTCGGCTACAAATACGATCTTCACGAAGTAATGGCGAAAAGCCTTCTCACTCGAACCGGAGGCTTTGTCGAAGCCAGAAACAGCCAGCTGTTTCAAGTGCTCCCAACTCCAAGCCAATCCAAGATTGATCCTTCTCAAAGCCTCGAAATCCTAAACTCATCCCAAAACTATGCCCCCGACGCTGCTCTAACAGGAGCCAGCCCGCACGAACCTTCTGGAGGAGCCCCAGGCAGGTGTGCGGTCGTTTTCGGTCGCTGTGATCCTTATTGGGGCTTGTGTTGCGTTCCTGTGAAGGAAGTCATAATTCAAATGATATGCTCTCCTTATTGCTGTAGCTTAATTTACACCAACTTGTGGCTCAGGGTTCCATGGTACACCCATGAACAGGTTGTCCTTTCAGCAAGAGGCATGCTCAGCTCTGAAGATAGCTTCTAATGGTCAGGGGGTCTCACACGTCGAACCTCAAACGCAATTGCAGGAAGGTTGGTCTCCGGATGCTCCTCTGCAAGAGGCTGGATGGGTGATTCATCAGGCTGTAAAGGCTCAGAAAGTTCAAAGCTTGAGTTCACCAAAGCTTCGGGCGGTTCCATGACCCTGAAATCAGGGCAGGCGCCGCGGTTTGCGGTTGCACAGCTTACCCATAGGCCCAATAGATAGTTCCTTTTGGGGATTACCTCATAGGGTTCTACATATGAACCGTTCCCAGAGAGCCCAATACCCCCCGTAATTAAGGAGTATACATTAAACTATAAGGGGGTTCGTAGAATGATATTTGTGATTTAAGCTATATTCCTTCTGTTAAGGAGTATACCTTAAGCTATAAGGGGATTCATAGTGTGGTTTAAGCCATATCCCTTTATGAAGGAGTATTGGGCTCTCTCCTGGTTTAGGGTGTGGTGCTCGAAAGGCGGCTTCCGTACATCCGAAGAGTCGAGCATTGAGCCTTGAAAAGAAGGCCCAAAAACCGATGCCTAGGGGACAAGACCGAAAGACCCCACCCAAAGCCTTGAACCGAAAATGCACACTCCCAAAACTTGAACCCGTCGACTAAACTCCCGTCTGGGAGTTTCCGAAAATGAGGGGTACCTTATTTTGGGGGACCCTAGAATAAGGATCCCACTATTTAGGGTACTAGATTTGGGTCCCCGATTTTCGGAAACTCTCATATCTCGTGGTCGCAACGAAGGCGACTGTGCAGCCGCCACAAGAGGACCTCCTCAGTCTTCCAATGCCGGAGGTTGTTCTTGAGGCTCTGGTGTTTGTCGGCACATTTCTTCAGGCGTGAAGAGCTTTGAGCGGTAAGTGTTGCAAGTTGAAAGTTATTCGAGCCCAAAGAGTTTAGGATCCTAGAGCTACACAACCAACCCTCAGTCCGAGTTGCTGGAAAGAACTTCCTGATTTGGAGCATCATGGCCTTTCTACCGGTGTGCAGACACCAGATATCTCCCTCATGCCAGCGGCGCGTCACGCCAGCTGCGGACCAGGGGCACCCTTTCTTTGGAGAAGCGATAACCCAGAATCCCGGAAGGATCCAAAAAGTAGGTCCCTTAATGGGGGTTCCTAGAAAGTACCCTTAGTAGTATAGGGCCCGAAGTAGGTCTGGGAATAAGCCTACAAGTTCGGAGCCAAGTCGCAGTGTTTGCTGCCACAGCCTCTTTCTTCATGTACTGAGGCGGCCCAGCAAGCATAGGCACAGGTGCATTGGTCCATTTGGTCACATGAATGCAAGCTTGTGCCATTGGCATGCTCGGGTATTGAGCATTCGCACCCGTGAGGACTCGGCTGCGGACGAGGGGGGCATTATCCCCTTGCCCCTTGTAGTGAATTCATGTGGAAGTTTCGGAAAATTAGGGGATAAGCATCCTGCTGTTTAGGGTGCGATATCGGGGTCTCCGAATTTTTCGGAAACTTTCATGTAGAGGGTTGCTGATGTAAAGAGAGCATGTCGCACTTTTAACAGCTTGGTTTCTCAACTGCAAGTATGAGGTCTTGTCTTGTGTTCAACACTACATCAGGCACATTGTCTATGTTTGGAACTTCTGTTCATTGTAGACGTGTTGCAAAGGGATGTTGTTGGCATAGTAAGGCGAGCGGAGTTTGGGGTCTTCCAATCGCTATGGCAGTTGACTTCGAGCATCGCCTGAGCACGTGCAGCTTCGACAATATTTCGCTGCCTTCAGATCTCTGAAGATGGTTCGGGAAGACCATGTCACTACAATCAAGGCTTACGTGTTGTTGTGGTTCTTTTCTGTCTTGCGTTTCATGTGAACTAGCCACGGCACTGACGGCAACAGCGAAATCTGGACAGTCGTTACGAATTTCATGAGATCCAGCACAAGAAACAAGATAAAGCTCCCTGGTAGAGGAGGTAGTGTAGGATTAGTACTACCACTACTACTACTACTACTACTACTACTACTACTACTACTCCTCCTCCTCCTGCTGCTGCTCCTGCTGCTGCTGCTGCTGCTAAGGCTGGATTTCGTAGCCAAATGCATTTTGCAAAGGACCGTGAGATCCGAATTGGGTTCAACATGACATTTCTGGTGAATCCGGTGGAGGCGATGCTTGCAACACTTCCCTTTGGTTAGTATAGGGAATGGAGGAACGGGGTACAAGTATAACTACTACTACTACTACTACTACTACTACTACTACTACTACTACTACTACTACTACTACTACTACTACTACTACTACTACTACTACTACTACTACTACTACTACTACTACTACTACTACTACTACTACTACTACTACTACTACTACTACTACTACTACTACTACTACTACTACTACTACTACTACTACTACTACTACTACCACTACTACTACTACTACTACTACTACTACTACTACTACTACTACTACTACTACTATTATTCCCTACTAACCAAAGGTAAGAACAGCAGGTGGCAGATAAAGCCTCGATTCTTGTGTGCAGCTGGGGCTATGTTCTGTTTACACCGGAGAAGATCATTCATCTATTGCATTGCTACCAATACTTGGAGGTTCATGGGTAGTTCTAAGTAGGGGTTTAAGTAGGATAACTACAGTTATAACCCATATTAAGGGACTTACAACCCCACTTATAACTACCCATGAACCTCCGAGCAGTCCCGTGTTCCCGCGGCGGATTCAGGTGAGCGGGAAGAATCCCGAGAAGTGCTGCGAGGAGTCCCAGGGTTCAGGTTCATAGGCCTTCATGGTGATTGTGGGACTAGGACGTCTTGAGGCGGTGAGAAGTGTGGGAAGGGAAGAAGGGTTTAGTTTGGAGAGTTCAGGAGTGTCTAGGGACTACCGCTTCGGGTTTGGGATTATGGCTGGAGCTGGACAGATTTTGCCACCGGACCCAGAGCCTTCGAAAGCCACGAGTGAGGGGGGTTTTGGGGTTCAAAAGGAATCAAGTGAGACGACAGGTTCTAGTTACCAGTGCAGTTGGCGATTCTGAGCCTAATCAAACCTGTTTCCACGCGGGACTGAAGAGGAAGCTCAACGTTCAACATTTGCAATCACCTTAAAGGAACCGGGAGCATCAGAAAATCGACCCCAACAAAGCAGCTGGATCCTAAGATAAATCGGCTCCAAAATAAGACCGCTCAAATGCTACATCATGTAATCATAATCATGTCGTTATGACCTTTGTAGAACCTTTCCAAAAGCCTTACCGAACCTATCTAGAGCCTCATTGTCACAACACCCTTGTGAAACGCAACATCCAGGACGTGATAGCTTTAGTGATTCCGCCTGGCTGCCGAAGTGCACCAAAAGGGCGGCTACAGCCACCGGGGGTTTCAGAAACTTATGAGTCCTTTGCTAGAGGTCCGTAGAACAAGGATGCTACCATT